TAATGCTTATAATAATTGATATAAAGTTGAAAAATGTCTCAGAATTTTTCCCAAGAAACCTATTTGAATAGAAACCAACTAACTTTATAAAAAGACATGTCTTTTAATATGCATTAGACAACTAATTAAAATAATTTTGGTATATAGCCTAAAAGAAATTTTAACATTAATCTTACTAAATTACATGAGTTTTATTAGAAATTCTATGCCAGTTTCCAAGAAAGCAAAACTCTACTATTTTATAAGTTTGTACGTTTTGCACGTTGGCTCTATTCTATGATTTCTGTGGATAACTTGTAGACAGGATAAAAAAATCGGGTGAGAATCTATGGGGGAAAATCATGCAAGAGAAAATATGCAAGTAAGAAAAGACACTACAAGATGAAAATTCCAGAAATGAATTAACCAATAAAAATTCTAAGATTGTTTTGTCTCAGACATTTTGTAAAATTCCAGTAGCCAAGACAAATTTTAACATATTTGTTTTTGCCTCAAGTGTAAAGTTCTGCACAAAAATTGGAGTGCATGAATTTTTTAAATTATCTTTGAAAATTCATTCATTCATTATGTGTCAGTATCTCAAAGGAAGAAACAGCACTTCCTCCTTTCATGCATTTCTGCCATAAATTTAAGAAAATAAGTACTATTTCTCACCTAAACTTCAACAATCAAATGAAAAAACAGACATAAATAATTTGCTGAGTGTACAAGGGTAAAAGAGTGACTCAGCATTTCCAACAGGTTGGGCTAAATCCAAAAACAAAGCTCTTAAGAGCTACCATTTTTTCAGACTAAATTCTTATGGTTGAATAAATGTGTAAAATGACAGTCTCCCAATAGGCCTTCCTCTACAAATAAATAAGTTCAGAAATATAGACCTTACATAGTCTCAGGCACCGTAGTTTATTAAATTTCTTAGCGTGTTTGCCTTTATGTAGCAATTATCACTGTTTACATTCCAAATCTCAGAGTAAATATAACTATACAGATTTATGTACTCAGCCAAAAAAAAAAGTTAGTTTCTAGTCTTACACATTCTAATGCTGCAACTATCATGTATAGCTCTCAAGGATCACTCATAAAAATGGCTCCTGTACTCTGAGTAATTTATATAAATATTCTTTAAGTTTTTAGTAGCTAAATAGATCAATTGCTTTTCTTATCTTGATTAACTTCAAGCAATTGGGGAAAGCCAGTTAGAGAGGTTATGAATAAGGCAAGTGAATAATGGCATGAAACACTTTTTCTTAATTACCACGAAGTACATTTCCCAAAGATGCGGACAGACCGGTATTCTTGTGACATGCTAAGTGACAAAAATCTTACGTGGTCAACAATTTGGGAGATAAGAATTGTTCTGTTGCTTTTGGTGACTCTCTGTGTGCATTTGCACTTTCTTGTTGAAATGTATTCTCTCTTTTTCCAGCATCCCTATTTCTCTCCTGGAACCACACAGCCCTTTCACTGTGGAAAGTGTTGTAGGAAGTACCTGCGATCAGAATAAAAATTGACATCTTCTTGTGACCATACCTCCTTGGCCACAGGAATTGGTTGAGGGATGGGAGATTGTTCCAAGCCAGTTCAATCATAGAAATTCATTAATTCAGCCACAGTAATGGGTCTGCGGTTGTGTTGTGACCCGGACTTTGCAAATGAGAATCTTTCTTTGAAAGTTCTCTTAGTGGAGTTGGGGTTAAAATATATCATCTCTTTTATCTTGAGAATATATTATTGTGAGCTTGTTGCTCTTGTGTATCTTGAAAAATTAGTCTAAGAGTATGAAGCAGTCTGGAAAGGAAGAAGAGATGAAAGCGCAAAGCATGGAAGACCCAGGTGTTCAGGTAACTTTCTCTAGTTGCCCCAAAGTGGTACATCATCAGCTCTTTCTTCAGTTGTGCTCCCGTTACTCAAAGCAAAGTACTCACTTCATACTGAACTTAGTCCACACAGCTAAAAATATGATTTGGATATAATATATTCTCTGTCCTGAAGTTGTTCACGATCTAGAGATTTTAACCGTTGTAAACATAGAAAGTGACATGACAAAGATAAAATTTCAAGTATTACGGCATCATCAGCAATAGCAAAGAAGGAGTTGGGATTGGACCATGGTGCACACATTTAAGCATCAGAAAAGAGATTTGTATTAAAAACTAACTAGAGCAGTTCTTTACTTGTCATAAAACATGAAGAGATTGTTAAAGATTGCTTAACTTTTACTTGGGATTTTTCTTCTGAATATGTACCTCCCTGGATCAGGAACCCTTCCTGAAGAAAATAAGTCTGGGAAGTTCAGTTTTTTAAAAAATCAAGAAAATCCAGTGGAAGAGCTATGATAGTCTAAAATGGCTTTACAGTTGTTCCAACGGGGAAAAACGATTCACCAGATTGATGATATTTTTACATGTTTGACATTCAGTAGATATGTGAAAAGGAAAATATCTATTTCCTACCTACCAAGTAAATGCTGAAATTATGTTTGATAGCAGTGTGGTGATATTCATTTTGTTAGATACAAAACCAATGTATATTGAAAATCCCTCAAGAATATAGGGATCCCACATGTGAAATGACTTTAAATAGCGAATCAGTCAGGTCTCTAATTTGTATTTGGAAAGTGGAAGAGAATTGGAGATGAAGACCACAATTACATAAGCTTGAGCCATTAGAGAAATTAAATATAACACACATAAACATGAAGAGTTTATTTAGAATAAGTCAAATATCCTGATGTTGAAGCCACAAATTATGAAATTGTGTTTGGTTTTCATACTAACACCAGAACTTCAAAATGGCATCCACAATTGACTAAACTTCTTTCCGCGGCCACAGTTTGTACTGAGCCAACCCACAGAGTCAGGCAAGTACAAGAACGTGTGCGCATTGCTGATGTACTTTGTGGCCCAAGGAGGGGGCATTGCCGGGACCATGCAGTCATTCCCAGACAAAGGTCTTCAGGTCAGATCGTTTAAACTAGGTCAAACATTGAAAACTATGGACTTTTTATATTTTAGTGTGATTGAGGTTTATTCTTCATCTTATCAGAAAAAAATAGTGTGTGGGTGGTGGCATATTTTAAATATATCTATGTAGAAAAATATGGGGGACAAAATACTACAACAAAATAACATTCTTTGAAATGCTTACGTGTTGTACCTTCCCTTGTCATTTCTTGTCTCTCTGTGCCTTTGCCTTGACACATGAAGTTCCGGGTGTAGTATCTTTATGCATTTCTAGAATCGGTGCCTTTTTACAGCTGTCCACAGAAACTGGCAGAGAGGTACAGAGTATGGTCTTTGGAGCCAGGCCAATCTGAGATCTAATCTTGGCTCTGCCCTCTCTACCGGCCTTGGCCTTGAACAAGTCATTTAACCTAAATTCTATGTTATATAATCTATAAAATCAGAATAATAAGATCATTGTTATTTTAGGCTGTGGTATTAATGTCAAAATGAATATAAAGAGCCAGCATAGTGTCTATCTCATGGCTGTAGAGCAGTAAATAGGAGCTCTCATAGTCACTATTAGTGATTAGTGTAATCACTGTTATTGATAGCTTTATTGCAGCATTGATGAGGCTACAAGTAGTTATTTGAGGATTGTTTCTATTGCCCTTCCAGTTCTGCCCTCACTTTCTGATCTTTAGTGTCTTGCTTATTTCTAAGAACCATTTTAACTGTGTTTGATGATGTTTTCCATGTAGCATGAATGCTAACAGAGTAATAGTGGAATGCATGCATGCAGTTAGACCGACACTATCTTCTACCATATGAGAAAAATGCATGCACTTTTACTGACCATACATTCGAGAGAAATTCCCCAAATCTTCCTGAATATAAGAGGAATATTCCAAATAAATGGGGTGTTTTAGGCCACTGTTAACATGGTAAAATAATAATGATTTAAGTTTTAAAGTAAACTTTCAAAACTTGACAAAAATTTGTCATATTTACAAGCTGTTGACTGTACTTTTTAGCCTGTCACTCATTCCAGTAGTGTTTTCATTGAAGATGGTGCCTCATGGCTGTAGAGAGTGGAAAGGAATACTATGCCTTCTTGGTCCCATTTTTCATCCCTTTCTCAAGAATTCCAGTGTGGGCATGACCTACACCTGTAAACTTGCTTGACCACAGGAAAAGCCCTCTGGATGTAATTATTAGCCTAATATGTAATATAAATCCATAGCATGTTATATCATTTTTATTTTAAATTCACAATATAACATCTCAGGGCAATTATTCTTTAAATTTGAATAGATGATTTACAATTATCCAAATATTTTTCTGTTGGCCCTGGCCAGGTAGCTCTGTTTTTAAGGGCGTCATCCCTATACTTCAAGATTGTGAGCTTGATCCCTGGTCTGGGCATATACAAGCAGCCACCAATTAATGCATAAATCTCTCTCTCTTCCTCTCTCTCTCTCTCTCTCTCTTTCTCTCTTCCTCTCTCTAAAATCAATCAGTATATAAAATTTTCAAAATATTTTTTGAAATCATGTGTATAAGCATCTAAATGTCTTAAAACCATTGGGATGTGAAGTTATATAATATCTATTTAGTTACACCTATGATGTCATTATCCCCGATAACCTTATTAGTATTTTTACTATCACCTCTTTATCTTATTTTTTAACATGACACATAGATTTTTTAACATATATATATATATTTTGATCTGTCACCTTCTGGTAGGAATTTAGGACTGTGAGAACATGGAAAAAACAAACATTTGTGATCTTATCATCTTAAATGATTTATATGGACATGTATAAACAGAGCACGTGCTCTCACATAAAATCCTTCATCAAATATTTCTGTTTTTCTTAAATGACCTAAGAATAGAGAAGCGGTGTGTGTGTGTGTGTGTGAGAGAGAGAGAGAGAGTGTGTTAAGGAACCACTTGGTTTTCAGGCCTACCTATTCTGGCTTTTCCCAAAGCATCGATAACAACAGTGACTGTTATCAGTGAAATTTCATACATGTTTTTGGTTTACTTTGTAGGTACATCCACCCTATTACCAAGTCTTCTTGGCTTACTGCTGCCTGCCTTTGGTATCCTTGTCTACTTGGAATTCTGAATGTGGTGTGACAGCTGCTGTTCCCGACCCAACTCAGAGGACACCCTTCATCCCTGCGATGACTACAGATCCTTCCAATTCCTGTGGCTCCATCCTAAGCCAAATACATTATTCTTTAACAAACTATCCAACTGATTTACAACACATGTTATGACTGAGGCATTCAGGAACCCCTTCATCCAAAAGAATAAACTTTTAAATGGATATAAAATGATTTTTAACTCGTTCCAATATGCCTTATAAACCACTTAACCTGATTCTGTGACAGTTGCATGATTTAATCCAATGGGACAAGTTACAGTGTTCAATTCAATTCCATAGGCTGTAGAGTGAAAGTAAAATCACCATACACAGGTGCTTTAAATTCAATAACAAGTTGTGAAATACAATAGAGGTTGAAATGTTGATCGTATGTGGTAAATGTAAGAGTAATACAGTCTCTTGTACTATCCTCTCTGTTTTGGGTCCTGCATATTTTTGAATGGCCCCCTATCATACATGACATTTTCAGTTTTCTTAAAGAGAATAGGGTATAACTGAAACATTGTGACGTAAATCCCATTACCAGGTCATCTTACTGAATGAGTTGAAAGATTTGGAACATTCAAAAACAAATTCTAGAACTTATTATCAATATTCTTATTTTGATAAGTAATTTTCTAAACATTTAATTTTTAGAATCAGTAATTCTTTTAAGTTAGTTTTTAATGGTGAAGTTAACATGCCATATGAAGGTTATTTTTTACTTTTGTATTCTACTGTGAAATTACTTTATGCTTTTCTTATCATCAATTTGAAACCTCAAAAATCACGGCTCTTATTTAGCGTAGTATCCTATTGCTCTATTTATTCATATGTGGAATAATGAATGTTAAAAAGTAGAGGGCTTCCATTTTTTAATCAAGATGTGATAGTCTTTATACCACTAAGAATAAATGACAGTTAAGTGTCAGAATTACGTATTAATATTCTAGTTCCTTGGTTTTTGTGCTGCATTTCTAAGTAAAAATCTATCTTTATTGAAAGTGTAGGATCAAGAAATCACCTATAGGTTGGAAAAACTACAGTATTCCTTACTTTTTTTATAAATTTAGTTTTAAGCTCATTCTTGCTTCAAGGCAATACTGAAAACTGGCTAAAAATACCAAATCCGTATGTTGCTAATGGTACTTTGAAGGGTATGCAAAACTGAAAGGCCAGGAGGAGACAAATAATGTGTACCTCCAATGGCGACTCCCAAGTGTTGGTGCTTTAGGTCTTTATAAGTTGTGAAAAGGAAGACGCACATTTCTTCATTCTTCATGGTGTGCCCGGAAATGTGTTTGAGTGTGGATGTGAAAGAAATCAAGTAGTAAGGATTAGCTGGCTCCTGAATTAGTGCAATGACAGATGCTTCGAGAGGTATAATCCTATTTTATTAGCACAACCTTGCGAGCTAATTAGAGATAGAGTTTATCTTTTTAGAAAGGATACCTTATAGGTTCATAAAAAGTATTTACAGGAAGCAAAACAGATCTATTACTATTTTATTCCCCTTTCTTTAATTTGTATAATTTTTGTACTATATCTACATGTAAATGTTTAGAGCTTTTGTTATAAAAATATCATTTCATTAGTTGACATTTAACTCTTTGTTATAAAATGAAACTTTTTAAAAATAAGTGAAATAGGTTATTTCCCAGCAGAAATAAGTCAACAGTCCTAAGAGCATCATCAGATTTCATAAAATATTTAATTATTTGAAAAAGAAAACCTCTTCATACTTTAGGGAAATGAATACTCTGTAAGCCTTCTGTACAAATGTTTGTGCTTTCATTGTTATACTTTGGGGTTTTCCTTTTGCAGTATGACCCATGTTGGGCATTTTTATATAATCAACAACTAATTCTTTTGCCAAATGCATGCTTGCCTTTTATTTTCTAATGTATGATAAAGAGCAAAACTGATCAGATTTTGCATGAAATGGTTCTGAAAGGTAAGAAGAAAACAGACTTCGGAAGCTACTTGTTTAATTTTAAATCTGTGACAGAGATTAGGCAGATTAATATCTCTCATACACTGATACTCATGCTTTTCATTTCCTCATACAGTTGTACGAATTTGACTGGGACCATCCGTTTTAAACTGTTGTCAAACTAATATATCACCTGCTTTAAGATGCAAGATTCTGAATTAAACTTTATATAGATATAGACATATCTGTTGTTTCTTTGTATTTCAGGAAAGGTGATAGTAGATTTCTTTGATACTGATAAATATTGAATTGATTTTTTTAGTTATTTTTTATCATTTTTTTCAATGGAGTAGTATAGGACTGTGCTTTGTCCTTTTTATGAATGAAAAAAAATTATAAAGAAATAAATGTCTTAATGTTATCCAAGAAATAACTGTCCTTTTAATTTACCTACTGTTGAAAATTCATTTTAGAAAGTTTTCTTTATAAGTCAAATAGCATGGAATAAATATTACTTGTTAAGCAACAGTTCAATGTTTGAAGGGTTCTACAAAAAGTACACACACAGACACAAAGACACACATGTGAGCTTGAGTGCACTCATACACAAGCATTATTATATGGAAATATAATAACTTCAATTTATTATATTTGTCAGTGACTATCACTCAGTCTAATGTTAGACATTAAAACAAGCCACTAAACTAGATGCTGAAAAATAAAAGACTAATTTAGCCCTGAATGAGCTGATACTCTCATTGAGGGATTTGCATAAAAGCATGGCTCTACAGTCAGGAGTCTGATACAAGAAAAGCCTTCTTTTGGTCCCGAGCCAGACTGCACCCCAAGTTCCAAATCACAGGGCTCCCTGTGTTTTGCCTTACAATCTTCTCATGTGTTCTCACTGTGATTCCACATTGGCATTTTGACCCGCTTCCTGGGTTATGAAGCTTGTCTCCACCATGGGTTCTGGTTTTCCCTTTTGGACCCTGCCTCCATTTTTTGACCCTACGTATTAGATTACTTCTATTCTAATATTTTGCTTTTGGTATTTGACCTTGGATTGACCCAAGCTCTAATTCTCCAGGCTTTGGGAGATCAAAGCTTTCTTTCTATGGGAGCTTTATCCACTTTATCCAAAGTTCTCCAACATGGTTGCCCATCACAGTAACCTGGATAATTGGAAAAGTAAAATAGATTCCGTGGGCCCCAGTCCAGACTTACTAAATCAGAATCTGGGAAGTAAGGTGTCAGAATCTGCATATTTTTAGGTTGTTTAGGAGTGATTTTGAATGAGCTGACTTTAAATTAGCTGATGGGAAGCAAGGATTATGTTTCTACATTGTTTATCATATGTTAAAAACAGGTTTCACCTTTTAGTTACTGGTAATAAATTTGATAATTAGGATAGATAATATTTGTCAATTCCTATGACAGGGAGCCAGGTTTGAGAATCACAGGTTTTCATAATTACTACAAGTTAATTTATATATTTAACTGAATCAACAATATAAACATCACATATACATAATTTAAATATCTTTTAAGAAAAACAAATCCATTCTCTTGGCTTGCCTAAACTGTTAATTTTCTCATGACTAATACGCTCATTAATTCTTACTTTTTGGTTCTATGTCTTAGGTATCAAAATGCTATATACTTGTGTCTATTCAAAATATCCCCTAATTTGTTTATATCTAAAAACCTAAGCAGCAGACGGAAATGTACTTCAGAAGATTTCTTCTCGAAAGGAATGTGGATTTCCTTTACTTTTTTAACGTTTTTCTTCATGTGACTTGAAAAGTTAATTAAATTTTAATACTTAATTTCCTGAGTCTATAATCTCCTGGAGGTTGCTAATTAAAATATAGATGAAAGATGCCCCCTCCCCAATGTCAACTGTTTTTTTTTCCAGAATGAAAGCATAGTAGTTTTGAATGAGCTGACTTTAAATTAGTTGATGGGAAGCAGAGATTATGTTTCTACATTGTTTATCATATTTTAAAAATAGGTTTCACTTTTTAGTTACTGGTAATAAATTTGATACTTGGGAAAGATAATATCTGTCAACTCCTATTTGACTCTGGAATTCAGTCAAGCTCATCCTAAGGGGAACTGAAGGCACTTGGTCTTCATCTGTCCTGTCTCTTCAGCTAGGCTCCTTTGCTCTGGGGGAAGCTGGCTTGAAAACAATACTGAGTATCTTCTGACCTTGTCTGAGTTTCCTAGGGTTGCCACAACCAAGGGCCACAAAGTGAGTGTCTTCAAACAACAGGAACATAGCTCTCAGTTCTGGAAGCCTGAAGTCAGAAATCAAGGTATCAGCAAGGTAAGGTCCTTGTGGAGACTCTGAGGGAGAACCTGTTCCATGCCTCTCTCCTGGCTTCTGTGGCTGCAGGCAAACCTTGGTGGTTCTTGGCTTGCAACTGCCTCTCTGTAATCTCTGCTCTTTTTGTCACCTGGCATTCTCCCTGTGTGCCTTTGCGTTCAAATTTTTATCTTTTTGTGAGGACACCAGTCACTGGATTGGGACCCATCCTAATCCATTGTGACCACATTTTAACTTGGTTACATTTACAAAGACCCTTATTTCCAAATACAGTCATATTTAAAGATTCCAGGTGAATATAAATCTTGGCAGAATTCTATTTCTTGGTATACTTCCCTTTTTATGAGGGTCTGATTAAGAAGCTGCTCTAAGCATGCTTTCAGAAAACATTTATGTTGATAACATGAAACAATACAGATGAATTTCAAATGCATTCTGCTAAGCGAAAAGAAGCCAGAATCAACCGGCTGTGGGATTCTATTTATATGACATTCTAGAAAAGGCAAAACTCTAGGGACTGAGAACAAGCCAATAGTTTCCAGGCAATAAGAATAGGGGCAGAGTTTGACTACAAAGGAACAGCCTGAGTGCCCACTTGGGAGTGATGGAACTGGTGGTAGTGACTCAAATCTATGCATTTGTCAAAACTCATAAAATGATACAGCAAAAGGGTGAGTTTTGCTGTGTGTACATTCTTAAACTTTTAAAAAATGCAGTTATGCAAAGATCATGGGCATTGGACAGGCGTGTAACCATCTTCTAACTCTGTTATTACCTGTGACATGTTGGATAAATAATATGAGATTTGGAGGATTAAGTTTTCTGTTTCATAAAATGAGAATAGCATTCCTCAATCATTCAGACTTCTTTGGCAAGTGATAGACAACTCAAATAAGCTTAAAAAATAATTTATTGGCTCAAATAATGGGATCTACAAGATAGACTGGATGTAAAGACTTACGTAAACATTCTCAAGAAACTGTCTTGCCATCTGTTGATTCTGCTTCTCTCTGTGCATGTTTCATTCTCAAGCAGGTTGTCTCCTTGTGGCAGGAATTATGGGTGCTGACAGTTCAAAGCCTACATCCTACTGGTCAGTGGTAAAAAAAAAGTATTCTCTTTCTGACCTGGTATCTATTTACCAAATCTCACTAAGGACTCAGATTATCCCCAGAGTTTGGTGTTTTTTATTTAACCACTAGAGGCCCGGTGCCCTGAGGGGAGGAAGTGTGGGAGGGTCCCCTCAGCCCGGCCTGCACTCTCTCGCAACCGGGGACCCTTCAGCGGACATCCCTCTCACAGTCTGGGATCCCTCGCTCCTTACCACCTGCCTGCTCGCTGCTCCTTACTGCTGGGCTTGCTGCTCCTAAGCGCTGCAGCAGAGGTGGGAGAGGCTCCTGCCACCACCGCAACACTCGCCAGCCATGAGCCCGGCTTCTGGCTGAGTGGCGCTCCCCCTATAGGAGCACACTGACCACCAGGGGGCAGCTCCTGCATTGAGTGTCGGCCCCCTGGTGGTCAGTGCACATCATAGTGACTGGACGTTCCTCTGTTCGGTTGATTTGCATATTGGCCTTTTATTATATAGGATTTTGGGGCTCCTGGCTAACCTTCTAGCCAATCTTTTGGAAGGTGGAAAACACACTGTGATAGCAATTCCCACCAGGACCACGTGGAATGAATAAGGGATTATCCCCCTAAAAATATATCAGGTGTTATTAACAGAAGGAGGGTGTTGGACGTTCCCCACTCCATGAGAATTTAAATAAGATGATAGAGTTAAAAAATGCCTGACACATAGTAAAATCCCAACAGGTCTTAAATTTCCCCTCCCATTATTACTTTCCAATGTATATTTTACTTCTAAAACTCTTAGGTCAGGTGATTGCATAGCTATCTGGTATCTGTTCATACCTAGCACAGAACTTAGCATTCACAGTGAACTCAAAGTCAGTTCCCCTCAAATAGGTGGAGCTGATTTAGTTGAACTGAATGTAATATCAGAAAGTAAAAAAAAATAGGAAAAGGGGGCTATTGGCATTGAAACCTTCCTTTTACTACATTTTAAATGTATACCATTTCCAATAATGAGGATAGAGGGGAAACCATTTTGAAGCAGACCCTTTGACCCTTTTCTCATCATTCCTGAGAAAGAACCATGAGCACATCCAGATATAGTACAAGTTCCCAAAGGACATTAAGACTTCAGAACTTGGAAAAGTTGATCCACGTAGACCAACATTCTAATTAGCCAATGGTAAAGTCAGGGCATATTAAAGTGCTGAAATCACATACCATTTTCAGTGAGCTGTATTAGTTATTTATTGCCACAATAATGTTGCAGAAATGCAACCACAAAACCTCAGTGGTACATAGCTGGGTCAGGTATGCGGCTCTGTAGCTTTGATAATAAGAGCTGGGCTTTCTCACATGCTTGAGAGCAGCTGACTATCAGTTGTCAGAGTTTCCCTGCTAGTTGGGGCCTTTGCAGTGGTTCTCAACCTTCTGGCCCTTTAAATACAGTTCCTCATGTTGTGACTCAACCATAAAATTATTTTCGTTGCTACTTCATAACTGTAATGTTGCTACTGTTATGAATTGTAATGTAAATATCTGATATGCAGGATGGTCTTAGGCGACCCCTGTGAAAGGGTCGTTCGACCGCCAAAGGGGTCGCGACCCACAGGTTGAGAAGCGCTGCTTTAGAGCAACTTGGCTCTGCTCCACTTCTCTCTTGTCTCTCAGCAGGCGAGTGCTGGCATGTTCTCATGACAATGACAGAGGTGCAAAGAAAAAGTGGAAACATGCATGTGCTCTTGCAAGCCTTTGCTTGCCTCGGGTCTGCTAATATCCTATTGATCAAATCAAGTCACAATATAAACCCAGAGCCAAGGAGCAGGTGGGCACTTTAAGGTTATAAGTAAAGGTGGCTATAAGCATTGAGGAATTGGAGCCAAATGATACAATCTACTGCAGATTCTTACCAAATTGCATTAGATCATGGAGGCCATGAATTTCACCATTAAGAAAGAAAAAATACTCAAACTATAATGCAATATTTGCTTATCATACAGATTTTTTTATTTTATATT